CGAGGAGAAATGAAAGCGGAAACGCTGAAGGACCTTCTGCACCATGTGTGACTTAGTCATAGTGATGGTGCACACTGCTCTGTCCCGGGTGATCCGCAAGCCAAGATAGCTGCGCAGCTCACCCAGGTCAGTGCACGTGTGTCTCTTCTGCAGCTCCACCTTCACAAGGGCAAGTGCCTCAGTATCAGCAGTTGCAAAGACCAAGTTGTCGACATACACGAGGATGTAGAACGGCGGCAGAGAAGAATCGGTGGGTAGAACATCGACGGGTCAGCAGTCAAAGGAGCAAAACCGAGAGCCGCAAGTGTCGTCCTCAGTGTGTCGTGCCACTCGCAGGGCACCTGGCGGAGACCGTAGACTGGCCGTTGGAGGCTCCACTAGGTACCCTCAGGAAACGACGTAGTGAAGCCATGTGGGCAGCGCAGCCAGATCTCCTCGTGAAGGCTGCCCTGCAAGAAAGATGTGGAGAAGTCGAGTGAGTGCAGCTCATAGTCATGCTATGCTGCATCGTTCAGTAACACCCAAAGAGTGGTCATCCTCGTGGTGGGGGAGAAGGTCCGGGACGCCAACTGAAGCCTCCTGCAACGTAACGCGCCTTGAAGACAGGTGGACTACCCGGCGGCCGCTTCACCCTGAAAATCTACACGCCATCGACTATGTTCGCTCCAGGAGGGGGGGCTTTATCGACGTAGGTGCTTGTGGACTTCCAGATGCCATCTTTGCATCCATGGCTGTCTGCCACTAAGATGAGTAAGGACCTATGATCGCCTCTGCGTAAGAGCGCGGGGTCGGGATGTCCAGTGCATTCGGGTCTCCCTCAAAGGCAAGGAACATGGTAGCGAGTTGAAGTACAGCAGCTGCAAGGCACTCAAGCTCAAACTGCCTGTCCTCAAGGACGTCACAACCTAGGGCAAGCTCAACCCCTACGGACGGAGGTTTGTCAGACTCTGAAACAAGACTCGCGAAGTAGTCAAGGCTGTCAACGGGAGTTGTGTGTTGGCCCCGTCCTCGCTTGGGCGGAGCCGACTTTGTGGTCGGCTGTGCGGGAGGTGCAGCCAACCGAGTGTAGTGGGCCACGCCGACTTGGGTGTGAAGGTCGACACGCTTGGTCGACATGCACGGGGCCACTGCAAAGCCACCGACTTCGGGAAGCCGATGGCTGAATCCAACTGGTGGTCGACGACGGGGCTCATCGACCTGGGTGGGGCGCCGACTTAGGAGGGCGCCGACTTTGGGAGGTCGACTTAGGAGGTCGACCTGCAAGTGCGCCAACTTCGTGGCGCCGACCTGGGAAGCCGGCTGGGTGCAGTCGGCCTGGTCTACCAGAATTGGTCGACATGGAGGAGTAGTCGACTTAAGTGAAGTCGGTTGGAGGTGGTCGTCGACCTCGGTGGTTGACGAGCACAAGGAGCAGCACTTGGTAGACGTGGTTGCCCGATCGACCAAGTTACCCAAGCCACGGGGTTCTACGGAGGTGCGCGACTGTTGCCCATGTGGTACTGGCAAAGACGACCTCGGTGGTGGTATCCCGAGGTCAACGTGGCTGATCAGATGCAGTCGGTGGCACGTGGATGACTTGGCATCTACGCTGTGCGCGTGAAGGGACATAGCACGCCAACCAACTGCGAGCATCTGCGAAGCGGATGCGTTGCTGTCATGCGGGTGCAACGCTGTGCAGCCGCCTTGCTGCAGCATTGGCACGCTGTGGACTTGCAACGTTGGCAAGCCGCCATTCTGCAGCGCTGGAGCAGTGCGGACTTTTCAGTTGTGGAACGCGGTCCACCTTGCTGCGCTGGAATCGACCTGCTTGCATGCTAGGCAGACTTGCATCTGATGTAGTCCCATTTGCCAATGCAGTTGCTAACATTCCTGAACCAATTGTTCACAACTTTTGCTACAAACTCTTACCAATTCTCCCCGTAAATGTGTGCGTAGAGAGGACACAAGCAAACGCTAAGGAACGCTGGGATCACTCACACAACGTACCTTCCCCGTAGTCTAGCTCCCGTTGAGTTCAATGCTTGGATCGTGCTGGACTATGCGACAGACGAAGTGACGAAATCACGAGACTGCATTTTCTACGAAAAAAACTGACCCTACCACTGTCCAAGGAGCATCGCGATGCTGACAAGGCTCTAGAGAGAGTCTTCGAGGGAGACCACAGCTTCGCCATAGCACAAGATGAAGCTGACGTGGCAGAAGATGCAACAGACGTCTTAGTTTACGACCATTATACACACATCCCCCTTACAACCCCATTCCAAACTCCAACCTTCGTACCTGTTTCACAATTCGATCCCGACAATACACCTAGTGAAGCCCACAATTACAGCAACACAGCGCTCCGATCTCCGGATGCCGAGCTACCACCACCGAATTCCTCGTAAGACACCCTCCGCAACGGCCACGATAGTGACGATGGCATCGTCGAAGTTACCAGCATGCACGACTACGATCGCCTCGCTGACGAAGATACCAAAAAACCCAGCCTCTGCATCCTTAGGCTCGCAGTAGCCAACTCTCACCCAAGGAACCAACCACTATGCGCTTGGCTTTGTCTGGCCCCGACAGTGAAAAATGGAGAACAGCCATGGCGGCTGAAGTAGCAGCCCTCAAGCGATGCGGAACCTGGAAGCTGGTTCCCCGTTCATCTGGGAAGGGGAGAGAAATATTGAGTGGTGAATGGGTTTTCCGGATCAAAACACTCGCGGGCAGTTCAATCAACAAGTACAAGGCACGGTGGGTGGTGAGCAGCTACGAGCAAACTCACATGGTGGACTATGATCAAACCTTCGCATTGGTCGGACGACACACCTCAGTACGCATCCTCATCTGCATTGTAGCCATCAAGCACCGACCGCTCTGCCAGATCGTCGTCTCCAACGCGTTCATGGACGCAATCGTCGACACCATAATCTTTGTCAAACAACCTCACGCCTTCAAAGAAAAGACAATGCAGTCTGTCTCCTATAGAAATTACTCTACGACATCAAACACACTCCTCGTCTGTGGTAGCAGTACCTGCGCACCGTCCTCATCGAACTCGGTTTCGCCAAGCTACCGCACGACCAAGAGATCAAGGTTTAGGGTAACTTCATTCTCCTAGTCGCCTAAGTGGACGACTTGCTCTACACCGGTGAGAACACTGAATTTCTCGATCGCTTTGAAGAATAAATGAAGGAGAAACTGGGAGTGACAATTAACCACAATGTCACCCAGTTCCTCGGGCTCAATATCACCCAGTCAGCGTCCCCCATCCATCTCTCGGCCGCGAAGTATGCGGAAACGCTCGTGAAGAAAAATGCAATCGCACCAATTCACCTCACAACTCCATTCCGCACACCTCCTCCTAATCACGAAATCGACACTTCACCGCTCTCCATCGACGACCATCGACTCTACCAGCAGCAACTTGGCTGCCTCCTGTTCGCCGCTGTCACGTGTCGGCCGGACCTCTCCTACGTCGCAAGCCAGCTCGCACAGTACATGTGTCGGCCTGAAGGGGAGAACATGCTAGACCACGCCGAGCACTTTGATATTTCATCTCCACTCCTGACGTCGGGCTCACCTACTTGGCTAACCTGACAGCTACACTTCAACTTCATGGCTACATAGATGCAAACCATGCGGGAGACATTGACAACAGACGTTCTCACACTGGCTTCATATTTCAACTTCAACCTGCCGGGCGCATCTCATGAGTAGGAGCTCATTGCTCTTTCGTGAGCCAAAGCCGAATTCATCGCTGCCAGTGCAGCTGTACTGGATGGAGCTCCTACAGGAAGCAAAAGTTACGATGAATGGGCACTTCACGTTACTCTGCGACAACCAGAGCGCGATCAAAATCACGAGCAAGCTTGACTTCGTGAATCGCACGAAGCACATCACACTACGTTACTTCTTCATCAAGGACGAGATTGACAAAAGCAAAGTCAACCTCACGTACTGCCCGACTGGCAATTTGGCAGCAGGTTTTTTACCAAGAAGCTGCCACGCCAGAAGTTCCCGCACTGCGCCAACCTCTGCGGCATCTCAAGGAAATCCCACGTGGCTCGCCTTCAGGAATGAAGGGGAGTGTTGGAATAACCGATAGGTTATTACACATTTCCGAAGGTTCTCCCTTAGTGAACTGCTTCATAGCAAAGCAAGCAACTGTACCACTACCACGCTAGCTCATAAAGAGCATGCGGCAGTCAGAAAGCCTCTCAAAGGTCAACGGTTACTGAAAGATAACTGTCGTGACTATTGACCACCCAGTAACTGTACTTGGAGGTTACACCCTGCAACCCGGTAACTGTCGAGTATAGCAATAGTCACGGTTACTGTAGGAATGTAATACAATTAATAAAGGGATGTACTCGTCATAGTATATGGCTAGATAGAATCACCATTTAAACTCCTTGTATATCTATCTTAATCATCGTGCTCCCTTTTATTATTTCAACAAGGTTATTACAGAGACTTCACTGTCTTTCTCACTACCGTCATTGCTCGGATAGAAGACATATGTCTTATACATAAAAAAAAAAAGCTTGCTGTGTCTTGTATTTGGGACGGTTTTGGGTGTCTTATAATTCTTATAAATAGACAAAATTTATATGAGCCCTGTAACATTGACCAAGTGTGTGGAAACCACCCAAGGGGTGGATTCATTGAATTCGGCCGCACATTGACGCTGATGCATGCGACGCCACCACGTGCCACGTGATGGGACACAACAATGCTGCTTGTGTTGGTAGAATCTCTCCCTGCTGGCAGCATCTCATGATGCTGCCAGTGTCGTTTTGCTGCTAGCAGCGACCAGAGGCTAACGCTGCCAGCAGCACGATGGCAGCATGCTACCATCATGAGTTGTTCTCTACGAGTACATTTCTCGTAGAGGAGCGGCTCGCCTTCCACATGAGGGGGCACTCTGGCACGGGGGGTGGTCAGGGTTAAGCTTCATTTTGAGCCCATGAAACTTAAAACTTGCTCAATTTTAGCTCTAAGCGGGCTCTATCATGCGTAGTAAGCACCCTGCAAGCGCGCCATCTCCTCTCCCTAACCTCCAAGTTACCAACTATGGGTGCATTAACTCGTCCGGTGATGATATCCGTGTAGACATTACGAAAAAGAAGCGCCAGCCGGCGGGATGCTCTAACGCAGACTCAAGAGCGAGTTGTGACAAGGACGAAGGCGACAAAGACCATGGCAACGAAGAATATGGCGACGAGGGCGAGGAGGATTGGCCGGAGAATGGTCACGACGACAGCGAGTAGGTGACGAGGTGCTTGCAGGAGGCATCGAGGATGACGGCTGGTGGACGCGACCGATCGGCTCCAGCAACGATGTGGAAGAGTGGCGCGCCGGTGACGATGACAACGACGGAGGCACGGATGCGGTTGCTAATGCGGCGGCGGATGCGACGGTAGAAGCCCAGGCGGCGGCGACTGCGGATGTGCCTGCAGGAGCGACGCGTGATGCGGATACGAATGCGGATGGACAAGCGGATGTGGATGCGGATGCGGAAGCAGATGACGAAGCGGGAGCGGATGCAGGTGCAGAGGCGGATGCCGAAGCGGGAGCAGATACGGCTACGGATGCGGAGGCGGAAGCGGGTGCTGGCCAGGATGCGGTCTTCTTCGAAGGCGAGGACAACACGGACGACCTATGGCGCGTCTCCGACGATGACGACGTTCCTCTGTTTAAGAGGAAGCTGCGTCACCGCCTACGCGTCACCCGAAAACAAACCCGGGTGGTGCTCTTGGATGACAACAGTCCGGCGGAGGAGCAACGACCCCGCCTCAGTGCTGCTGACAAGGGGAAGGGTCTGTTCGTGAAGGTTCCTTCTAAGGCCGCCCGTCGTGTCTGCCAAAGTAAGAAGAATCGGAAAGACGATGGCGACCCGGGTTCCAGCAATGGTGCGAAGAAGCAGAAGAAGAAGGCCAGCAAGAGCAAAAACGTCGTGGTCAACGAGGCGCTCGGCAGTGACGATGACTACGCGGAGGCTGCAGGCCCCATGCCTTTATTCCCTGAGAAGGCTAAACCAAAGACTCCACCATCCGTAATGCTAACCCCCGCCCACCTTCCTCACGCAGTCGCGGGTTTGAAAGGTCCAGGCGGTCCTAGTCCGTGCGCGAAAAGGTGAAGTGGGCGCGTCGCTATGCGGAGCTTGACTCCCTCAAGAAGATCTCGGCCGAGTCTTCGGCCAGCATTGTCAAACATTATATATGTTATGCTTGTGTAGGCTACAGTGGGTTAGCCTATAGGGGGTACACAGTTCTAGGGTTTACTACTTGTACTCATTTTCACTTCTAGTTCATTCATTCCTGTTCGCTTATTCTCACAAGCATCACGTGCATCCGACTCTGGAGCGCGCAGGCTGCATCGGACATGTACAAGGGCGAGGCGAATTCTCGCAAGCGCATGCACGGGGCGGGCCGCCACTCACTCCACCCCGACATAGAGGCAGCGCTGTACCGCTACATCTTCCTGCATCGCGCGAATGGGGTGGCGGTCAAAGACACTCATAAGTGGAGCCGCGAGTGGATGAAGAAACACCACACCGGGAAGAACTGGAACGCGAGCTTACACTGGAGCCAACATTTCCTTGACCGCTGGAACCTCGTCATGCGGGTGGAGACTAAGGTTGGCCAGCGGTTGTCGGCTGATGAGTGGTTCTAGAGATGAATTTGCTGTGGATTGTCCTCTCCCTGTGCATATTCCTGTAAAGGCTTGCACATCCCCACTCATCCCCTCCTTTTGTATGCTCTTTTGCCTTGGCAGAGTGCGCAAAAGACTGCGAGTCTTTTTGGAAGTTCATGAGAACTAACAGGGCGCGGCACAAAATATACCTAGGCCGCATCATCAACGTGGACCAGACGCCACTCTTCGTTGAGATGCCGGCCGAGAGGACCCTTTACCACCGTGGTGCGCGTTCAGTCCCGATCCGCACGGCAGGCTACGAGAAAACGCGGCTGACAGTGATGCTCGCGTGTACGGCATCCGGGGAGAAGTTGCTCCCGTGGGTTTGGTTCAAGTGAAGAACGTGCTAAAATGTGACATTCCAGCAGTTGAACACGAATTCGGGTTGAATAGAGTGTTGTATTGGCCCTGCTTGGCTGACACCCCTATCTCCCTCTGTGACTGGCAGAAGTGGTGGTCCAAGCACAAGATAACGGGTAGATAAGCAAGACTACTGTGCAGACCTAGCTGACAAAGGAGGTGCTGCCCCATCTCAACCCCCAGCGCGGCCAGAACGCAAGGCGTGCGATGCTGGTGCTGGACTCGTACCGCGGCCACATCACCCAGGGCATGCTTCGAGCCTATCGCACGCACATCATCACCCCCGCTGTAATCCCTGCAGGTTGCACCAGCCAAATTCAACCCCTTGACGTTTCCATCAACCGGTGCTTGAAAGCCGGGGTGCGAGCTCGCGACGCCAGGTGGTTCATGCGTGAAGGCCTTTACCTAAAGATGAAACACGGTGACTGCACGGTCGTTGATCATTAAATATACCCCGATACCTCTTGATGTACGGTATCTAACGGCACGCTTCCCCTGCCTGTGACCCACTCGCAGGGAACCTGAGGAGACCTCCGCATCCCGTGGTGCTGCAGTGGATAGCGGAGGCGTGGGATCAAGTCCCCACGCAGGTTATCATTGACGCGTTCCGCCACTGCGGGATCTCAAGCAAGCTGGATGGGACCGAGAACCATTTGGTGATGTCCCACCAGCGCGCGAGGAGCACCACTGATGTCATCGAAGACATGTGCCTCGGGGGGATCACGGGCGACAACACGCGCCTGCTTGGGAAGGCTCCCGAGGAGGAGGATGAGGAGGAGGAGGAGCAGCAGCAGCTGCAAGTGGAGGGCGTCATGGAGGTGGGCGTGGCAACAGGGCTGGATGTGCTGTACCAGGAGACCCCCAACTATCGGGGAGCGGCGGCCGAGGCTGATTGCATAATCGAGCCCAAGCAGAAGGCCAGGCGCGCCTGGCGAGTGCCAGACTTGGGGATGTATGAGCCTGCATCTCCTAGTGCAGATGAGGAGGGCGTTACCGAGGGGGGCTAGGTAGAAGTAGGAATGGATAAATGCATGCATGTACACCCTGCCTAAATGCAAGAAGAACCATTTTAAAGACACCCCCCCTTTATAAGAAAACCCATGAACCCTAGTACTATTTAGAAGACACTGTCTTAAGTCGTACACGCATGTAGGTGGCTTATAATCAGAAGCACCCAACTATAAGATACACCCGTTTTAAAGACACCCCCTGTCTTCAATTCGACACTGTCTTATATCCAGGCGATGACGGTACTTGACTGGCTTATCTTATCCACTAAGATCCTACGTTATATCAACAGATAGAGTATTGAATATGTTACGATATGAAGTTGTATGAGAAAGCATTCCTGTATGCTGCAGGAGCCGACTCTACCGCGTACGAAGTCGAGGAGTCAGAAGAGTCGAAGCGACACTGGTAACCGTCTGATCAAGACCGATGCAGGCAGAAACATTCGAAGTGGAAAGAGAGGGAACAGGTTTGAAACGGGTTCCTACGCCGCACGATTTGAATTCGCTACAATAAGGGAATGTACCCCTTAGAGTACATGGCTAGCCTAGGTCTTTTCGTATTCCCCTGTATTCTTATATAAACTCCATGTATGCATGCTGTTATCATCTCAGTCATTTCCATTCACTCTTACCTGAGTTCAGTACTTCCGCTGCAACACTACTCTGCGATCGACCCTGAGCGATCCTTCGCTACGTCCCACTTGGGATTGTGACATGGTATGAGAGCTACTTAGGGATTCTTCGCAACGTCACTTCCGTAAAATTTGCCCAACCCAGATCTGGCGAGCGGCACACGCTCCAAGTCCAAGATGGCCGGAGGATCCAGAGGCCAAGCAAATCTAACGGCTGAAGGACAAACCAACCCGGGTGCGACAAATGAGGCGACAACCACGATCAGCACTGCCGCCCTCGAGCAGTTATTCGCTCGACTTTCTACTATGGAGAAAGAACTCCAAGAACTGCGCAAAGGCGATGCGGGAACCTCTTCCCAACCAGCTCAATCTGGACAACCGGCTGCAAAAAGTCGTGATACCGCCGCGCACACCTTCTCCCTCGACACAGACAAATCAACAACCACGGCCCCCCGTCCAAGTGATGAAGTCATCAACTCTAGGCAAGCACGCTTCCTCAGCGTCTCAAAGATAAAGACTACTGCCGCATTTGACAATAAGGACTTCTATACATGGAGTTTCGATCTTGAGCTCCTCCTACAGACAGCGCAGATCTACCATTACTTCGACGGCTCCTACCCTAAACCGGTGGAAGACACCGACGATGCCAGGGCTCAGTACTACAGCGAGTCCCTCATGGCATACAGTGTGCTGCTACGAAATATGATGCCTGCGGAACAACTCAGCATTCGCTCCTACAAAGAGAGCGCCGCTCCAGCCTTGGAAACCTGGACGCACCTCGTTGAGGTATATCAGCCGAAGGACTCGGTCACCACCAGCAGGCTCCTGCAGCAGCTCATGGAGACAAAGATGGGGTACGGGGAGAAAGCGAATTCTTATATAAACGGCTGTCGGAACATCCGTGACCAGATCAAGATGCATGGGAGCGCAATCTCAGAAGAGATTTTCGTCAACATAGTCCTTCATGGACTCAGGCCAGAGTGGAAGCCCTGCAAAGCGCTACTCCGACAACGAGGAATCCTCTCACAAGCCGTGCTATGCGCCGCACTCCTGACTGAACAGCAAGACATGGACTCGAGTAGAACAAGCTCCGCGCCGCGCCGAGAGCGCCTCACCTTCTACACAGACAACCGTGAAGAGCGACGACAACCAAGGCGCCACTTTTGCAAAATATGCAAAATCTTCAGACACTCAACGGGTCGATGCAAATCCCGATTCAACTATCGCCACCCAAATTCCACTCACCACAACAACTGGGTCGGCCGACAAGACGTTAGTCATTCTCAGCCTCAGCATCAAAACTTTTGTCCCCCTGCACAGCACCAACAACAGCAAGGGCAAGGACCTCAAGCAGGAGCTCCTAGAACCGTGATTGCGAACATGTCGGCAAGGCGTCGCCCTCGCGGTGCTGAACCAAACGAAGAGGACGAACTCCGCGGAGAGCTGATTGAACCAGAAGAAGGATGGAATAATCTTCTCACAGAAGACCACCACTATCAGTATGACGAAGACGAGCAAGATTGGCATCTTCCAATAACGCTGCGGGAAAGCCCGCCACATGACAATCAGCGTTACGTACCTGTGGGATGGAAAGAAGACGAAGATCCATTCTTCCACAGACGCTACAAGGCAACCCTGGTGACTACGCGATTTGCGCTACTCCTATGCAGAAACAACACCGACAACCACAACACCTGGTACCTGGATAGCTGCTGCGGACAGCACATGGTGGGATCTGTTCAATACATCTCGAACCTCAGCCGCGCCCCCGCCACCTACGTCACCGTCGCCAACAATGAGCACCTACGTCACCGTCGCCAACACACAAGGCATCGTGGTTCTACAAGCGCAAGACCGTAACACACACATCTCGTTCAACGACGTGCTCTACGTCCCGGACCTTCGCCTCAACCTACTCTCAGCACGGCAACTCAGAGACTGCGGAGTCATGATCGCCACGGATCCAGATACACGCGACCTCCTCCTTACCTACGCCCCTCCGGACACCCCTCCTGAGTCGCACAAGTATCTCGGACGAGCTCGGTCGATCAACGGCATCTACGTCCTGGACTTCGACATCCTGAGCTGTCAAGCATCATCAGACGAGCTCGTGGACCTCATTCCCCTTTACTTCCCTTTCATGAGCCAAGAGTCATAGCAGCACCTAGACGGACGGCCGTGGATTCGCCGCAACCCTCATCCCCGCGAGATCAATCTACACGAGCCCGACATCAACGGTCTCTGCACCACCTGCCACACACCCACGGCAAGCCGCACAGAACAAGTGGAGAAAGATTATGCGGCAATTCAGGAGGCGGAGAGTGCCGAGGCAGAGCCCATAGGCATGACTGAGATGGAACTCGCCGTGACTACTCACTACATCTTCGGCAAAGGAAACGAACGGCTTGGTCAACAGCGGCAAGAACGCCCAACGCCCCGTGTAGAAACCCTCCGATGGGTCCTAGAGGCAAACATTGGAACCTTTAACAACAAAGGACGCCCACGACCTTACGACCGCGATACCTACCGCAAGAAGATCGATACGGCCTGGAAAGATCCTGACGCAAAGGAAGAACCAAGCGTCAAGGAAGAACGAGACAAGGCCAAAGCAGAAAAGAAACAAAAGCTGTACGAGGAGCGCGTAGCTGCCGGATGGGACGAGGAATCAGCACGACGAGGGGCATGGGGAGATGATGATCACATACCAGAAGAAGGTGCAACCTGGGGATCTGCTATTGGCGCTTTGGGCACCGTTCAAGGATGGGGACCTAGCGCCAGCGGCGTACGGGAGGTTAGGGAACTACCGAACCCAACGAGGGCGAGCTTACGCAAGAGGAACTGGAGGAAGCCGAACGAGAGATGAAAGCTGAGCGCGGAGAGAAATCTCCCCATGTCGCCATTTCGCTCGGACGACCCCCACGTGTTCGCTCACCTCCTAGCTCACCTTATCGATGGGACGATCCCTGGACGGAGATTGAGGAGGGGAATGTACCGCCAACTCCTCCGCGTGACACACTTGGTCCAATCTCCCGCCAGGATCCATTCGCCCGCTTCATCAAAGGCACAACGATTCCACTCTGAGAAAGTGTGAACGAGAATGGGTGCACTATGAAATGAAGTGAGTACAAATATGAAACCCTAATTGGGTTGTACCCCCTATGGGATACCCCACTATAGCCTACAGAAACAAGTAAGCTATATGTTCTGACACACCCCCATAGGCAAAGTGGGGGAGAACAAGGGGTCACAAGACCAGTCAAGCAAAGCAAAGCAAAGCTCAGGGTGGATCACAAAGTCACCACGCATTCCGAGCACAAGTTCAAAGGCCAGAAGGCCAGTTCACATGCAAGATCATATATAGAGATATACAAGAGTCAAGCAAGCAAGAGCAAGAGTATATATAGGCGAAGGTACAAGCAAGGTCAAGAGGAGAGCAAGTGAGGCAAGACAGGCACAAGACCTAACTGCGTGCAACAACGCTGATGATCACAAGGCGCAAGTGCCTTGGTGAAGACATCAGCAGTGTTGGCCTCAGAGGCCACGTACGCAAGTCGCAACTGTCCACGCTGCTGTAGCTCACGAGCAAGAAAGTAGCGGAGAGCAATGTGCTTCGTTCTGTGCTCCAGTCGCTGCTCTCGACACAAGGCCAGCATGGCCTTGTTGTCTACGTACAGGACTGGAGAAGAACGAGGCTGCTCTCCAAGGTCGGTCAGCAGGTAGGTGAGCCAGCGTAACTCCTGTGCAGCCATAGCCCCAGCGTAGATCTCAGCCTCACAACTGGAGCCGAGAACAGAAGACGAGCGGGTAGCCCGCCACGAGACAGAGCCGGAACCAAGGCTGAAGGTGTAACCCTGTGACGACCGCTGCGTAGCCTGGTCGTCAGCCCAAGAAGCGTCTGCGTGCCCAGTGAGGACCACTGGACTGCGCCCTCCAAGCACTAGCCCCATGCCCGACGTACTGCACAAGTAGCGCAACACCCTCTTCGCTGCAGCCATGTGCTCTGGTCGGTGTCTCCCAGGAGCAACAAAGCGTGCGAGAATGCTAAGAGGGTATGCGAGGTCAGGTCGTGTGCAAGTCATCAGGTACATGAGGCAGCCAACAAGCTCTGCAAACGGGCCACTCGACTCTACGGACTCATCCGAAGGCAGAGCTGAGAGCGAGTGGCGAGTAGGCAGAGGAGTGGCCTGAGGCGAGGAGTACGTGAAGCCGAAGCGCTGAAGGACCTGCTGCACCATGTGTGACTGAGTCAGGGTAATGGTGCGGCGTGCTCTGTCCTGGGTGATCTGCAAGCCAAGGTAGCTGCGCAGTTCACCCAGGTCAGTGCACGTGTGTCTCTTCTGCAGCTCGGACTTCACGTAGGCGAGT